AAGGATGTCTGACTGCCAGTTTAGGCCCAATCCCGGGGTTTGGGCCTAAACCAGCAGTAGGACATCCCTCTCACCATTCTTCTTCTTCTTCTTCTTCTTCTTCTTCTTCTTCTTCTTCTTCTTCTTCTTCTTCTTCTTCTTCTCTCTCTCTCCTTACCTCCCTCCCTCCTCTTTCTCATGCCCAGTTTCCATACCCAGCTTCTCCCTCTCTCTCTCTCATACCCATCTTTTCTCTCTGACACTCAGCTTCTCCCCCTCTCTCACATACCCAGCTTCTCTCTCTCTCGCTCTCCCTTTCTCTTTCTCTCTCTCTCCTATACCCAGCTATCATTTCACATAATAACACTACATCCATACCCTTTACCTGCCCCCACCCCTGCATCACATGAAAATCTTTTAGGACTCTCTCAAAGATTTAGAAAAAGGCTTCACACACCCTCAAAAGGGGTAGTTTCTTTTTTCCAGAGCTAGAGATCACTAGCCTAGAAAAAGAGGGAGGCATAGAGGTCCCTCATGTACAGATTCTAAAGAACTGTTTAAAAAAGAAATTTATAAACTCATTACCTTGATAATGAAGTTGTTTTCTTCTTTTTGCTGAAAACGTGCCACCGAGAAGGGAGATTCGCCCCTTTAGATGGATCTGGGCAGTGCCAAGTTCTTGGGCACCCACAGCTGGCTGCCACCCCACCAGCAGTTGGACAAGACTGATGGGCCAAGGCTTTTTTCTGCTGCTTATGACCTTGAGGTATGACATCATACTTTGTTAAGTCACAATGCCTGAAACTATAGCAACCGTAGTAAAGGTGTAGCAGGCTGGCAAACTTAATACCCCTTTAAATAAAAAATACCTCAGGCTATCTGCTGTATGACAACCTTTTTCTATTCTTTCTAGAAGGGTACATATAATTCTTTCACATTTTGTCCAGCTCATAACACCTTGAAACCTCCTTTCTCTTTCCTCTTCTTGCTAGACTTCCAGAACAACCTAATCCTATCAGTTACCAGTTTGGTCTGTATTTTTCACATACAGAATTACCACCAGCCTGTATGAACAAAACAGTATTCATTTTCACATCTTAACTTATTTTTCTATGCTAGTGTTTGTTTAAGTCTCATTATGTAGGAGTGGGTGAAATTCTTTGTGCTGAAAGTTGAAATTTTTATAGGCCAAGATTGAGGCCTAGTTGAGAAGAGGTTTCAGAGGAGCTTGACAATATCAAATCATCATGTTGTAGATCTTAAATACATATAATGTTTATTAAAACATTAATTTTGGTTGAGGATGGAGTCTTTGTCAATGGCGATGAGCTAAAATCCACAATATAGGACTTGTTTTTCTTTTATCATCCCTTTTGGCAAGGGGAACTTTTGATATTTAAGTTGGAGCTCCTGTGTCTGGCTCGTGTCTATGGGATAATAAGTAAAGAAAGAAAATGTTTGTTTATTCTCTATGTACAAGAATATATATTCCTAAGATTAAAAACAAACAAACAAATAAGCAAACAAACAAAAAACACCTCTCTATGTCTCTCAGCCTAGAAGGAAAAAACTGTCGTCTGGGCCTGGAAAATGTCATACCAAATCCTCTAAATGACAGAGAGAGAACTATTATGGATGATTAGAGCCCTGACTCATGGCACCCCAATACTGTCATCCTGGAGGCTAACCAGGAGCAAATAAGAGCAGCATTTGGGTGGGAAACCAATAATGAAAATGTAAGGAGGCTCAGTCATAGGTTACAGTATATTCACTGCCTCTTCTTTTCTCTTAAGCTGCTGAGGCTCTCAGAGTGTCCTGTACTGATGTTCAAAGTGTCAGAAGAAGGAATATGCTACATTAGTATGTCAATATATGCCAAGTAGTGTACACTTAGGTTAGCCTTTAAGAGCCAAATATAGAGATGTTAAACAGAAGCTTTGTCATTTTCCCCTAACCATTATCATCCATTTTCTAACCTTATTTATTCTCAAACATCTTCTCTTTCATACAAACTTGTGAGTAATCATACAAATTACATTTTAAATATGCTTTCAGCTTGAATTTGGTTTGAAAGAGCTATTAAGGTAATAAAAAATGGAACCTGTGTTTGTAATTATTATGAATAATGGCAAAATGAAATTTAAGTGAACTGAACTATCAGCCTTCATGAAATTACTGTCTGCCTGTTAGTTCCACTAAGTACCTTTCAGCCTCAGATTTAGCCTACCTAATTTAGTTTATGTGATGACACTATTTGGAAAATGGGAAGTGATGTCAATGATTATCAGACATTATTTATTATGGACCAGTACAAATGGGAACTCCACCTCTTTTTCTCCTGAATTGTTTCCAAGCCATGAAAATGCCCAATGTCCTTTAGAGCAGCTCCCCACAACCATAGTAAATTGAAAAATTAGATAGCCATTATTTTTAAATTTTATTAAATTTATTGGGTGATATTGGTTATTAAATTACATGCTTTGAGTGTACAATTCTACAGCACACCATTGATATATTATATTGTACCACTCAAAGTCAAGTCTCCTTCAATCACCATTTATCCCCCCCTTTACCCTCTTCTACCCCCATACTCCCTTTCCCTCTTGTAATCACCATACTGTTTTCTGTGTCTATGAGTTTTTGTTTGTCTTTGTTCATTTGTTGCTTTCAGTATTATATCCTACATATGAGTGAAATCATATGGTTTTTGACTTTTTCCATCTGACTTATTTTGCTTAGCATGACATTCTCAGGATCCAAACATGTTGTCACAAATGGCAGTATTTTGTCTTTTCCTATGGCTGGTTAGTATTCCATTGTATATATGTACCACATTTTCTTTATTAAATCATCTATTAGATAGCTATTCTGAGCATCTCATCAATGGTACTGCATAATTACTTCCATCAAGTATTTATGTCATGTCTGCATACCCATCTGTCCTTTCCTATAAGTGATTGAAACAGTGGAGGGAGAAAATAAAGCACTTTAAAAAAACTATAAACGTTCTAATTATTTTTATTTAAGAGGCAGCTGTTAAAGGAAAGCAAGCTCTTAGATGTGTTGGGGTTTCCTTTCAGGCAGGGAGTTAATTAGGCAGCTAAGGTCTGTGCTATTTGGTGTATGTGTGTGTGTATGCGGGGGGGGGGGGGGGGGG